CTGCCTCCCACTGGTGTAATATCATCGGTTTTGTTGTGGCTACTTGAATATTTTAAGTAAGAGTTACTCATTGCAGCAAGTTGTTTTATTCGCCTTAGGTTGTGGCTACTTGAATATTTTAAGTAAGAGTTACTCATTGCAGCAAGTTGTTTTATTCGCCTTAAAATGTGCTATTACTTAATAAAACCGAGTAAGTATAACAACTAAGTAAAGATAACTAATTATATCTAAGTAAGGTAAGCTATTGGATTTTACAGTGTGTGTACTTAACAGCTCTTGTTTGTATTTGAGAATAATAAAGGTGGTGTGAGCTTTGCACAGCACAAAATATTCAGTAATTCGAGCTGCTCTTGTGTACTTGCTATTCTTGGCAGGACTCTACAGGACCGAGAGGGACAAAGGCACACTGTATGAGCTCTACTTCGCTAAAGAGAATTCCCACGAGTACCATCACGTCACCCTCTTTCGTCCGTTCGGGCCCCTCATGAAAGTGAGGAGCACGTCTGTAGACACCGCCAGCACCGTCATTAACATCATAGTGCCGCTGTCAGGCCGCACTGAAGCCTTTGTTCAGTTCTTGCACAACTTCAGGTGAGGAGGTCACTGTAGGATTTGTGGTCATTTTTTGTAGTGATGATGTTTTTGTAGGCCAAACGGAAGTTAGCATCATTTTTCATTTTTGTTTTTTTCAATTAGCTGTTGTATAATTGTAGAAAACAAGCTGTATGACAGACAGAAGTTTATGATTCTTACACATTTTTTTATCATAAAATTCTTCGCAAATAAACAACTTTATGAATTGTAAAGCTCAAGTACAATTGCCAGAAGTAGAAAGCTAAATGTAGGCTATAAACGAGCTACACCACAGTCACATGACTTCAGCCTCTCCACCATTAAGATTCTGACAACTCTTTCAGTCTTTATTTAAAAAACATTTTCCCTGAAAGTTTGAGTTGTTTGCAAGAATGTGATAATGAGGCTGTAAAAGCAGCTAGTGAGTAAATGAGTTTACGTTTAATGTCCCCAACAACCTCTGTAGTCAAATTTAGACACTTATTAGCAACCGATTTTTTTCAAGACAGTTCAAATCTTTAAAAATCACAAGGGAGTTTCTAACCACAGAACATATTTGAGGCATTTAACCAAAAATCATTTCAGAAAAACCCATTGACTTCAGGAAACTGAAACTGGAAGTTCTGAACTTGTTTCTAGGTTTCAACCTAAAAATACATTATGTCTGCAGCACACTGCTAATGAAATTGAGATGAAATTCCACAGCAAAAAAGATCCATTGTCAAAAGTCACTTTCAAACCAAGTTGTGTCAAATTGCAACTTGAACTCGAGGCAAAATCTATGTGGGGAAATTTTTCATTTTTATGCATACATAACTCCTGATTGTGCAAATTGACATTTCGAACAAAAATTTTCACAGAGCGTGTAAGAGAGATTCTGGGATCATATCTGGGAATGTGTGTCAGTGTATTTTTGTGTGCTGCAAATAATATGGTTAAACTTCTAAAGATGTGTGGGTAGCGGCAACACGGAGCCAGTTTTACACACTGTTTCCCAGTGTGGTTTTCCCTTTGGAAGTTTTGGAAATGTTGTGGTCAGACTGCGTTTTCTGTGTGCAGGGAGGTTTGTATACAGCAGGACAAGCGGGTGCATCTCACAGTGGTGTATTTTGGCCAAGCGGGCTTGCAGGAGGTGAAGGCGTCTCTGAGGAAAATGTCCAGGTTTGAGCTCTGCAAATATTCTGAAATTTTAGGAGCATAGCATAACTGAAACTGTCTCTGTTTGCCAACATCCTGAATGGAGAAACTGAAAGGAAAGGAATTTGCTGTTTACCCATCTTAGTGAGGCAGTTGAAATGTTCTTTTTAAACGTGGTAATTTTTTTGACTAGCAGGAAATATGCTTGCTTTTTCTAAATGTTTGAGTAAGGCATGTAATCTGTTTAAGTACACTACCAAGTTTGGGGTCAGTAAGATTTTTATTTTTATTTATTTTTTTATTTTTTTTAGAAATTAATACTCAAGTATGCATTAAATCTATCAGTGACAGGAAAGACATTTACAAATTTCAAATAAATGCTGGTCTTTTGAACTTTTCTGTACATCAAAAAAATCCTTGATAAAGTATCAGGGTTTCCACCCAAATATTAAGCAGCACAACCATTTTCAGCATTGATTTTTTTTTTTCCCTTAAGCAGCAAATCAGCATATTGAAATGATTTCTGAAGGATGATGTGACACCGAAGACTGGAGTAATGGCTGCTGAAAATTCAGCTTTGTTAAGCAGCAAATCAGCATATTGAAATGATTTCTGAAGGATGATGTGACACCGAAGACTGGAGTAAAGGCTGCTGAAAATTCAGCTTTGCCACCACAGGAATAAATTACATTTTAAAATATATTCAAATAGAAAACATTTACTTTAAAATGTCATAATATTTCACAATATTACTGTTTTATTGTATCTTTGATGAATGCAGCCTTGTTGAGCATGAGAGAATTTTTTCAAATAATTAAAAAAAATCTTACAGACCTCTGGTGTAGTGGAGTAGTTTGGTTGGCATAAATCTTCTAAGCCTAATTTTGTTTCCTACACTGTTTTTATTCATGATCTTTACCAGTGAGGAAAACTTCAGTAACTACACCCTGATCCCCGTGGATGAGGAGTTTTCACGTGGCCGTGGTCTGGACATCGGAGCTCACGCGTGGGAGAAAGGGGGTGATGTGTTGATGTTCTTCTGTGATGTTGACATCTACTTCACACTGGAATTTCTTGGCACCTGTCGCCTCAATACAGCTCCAGGTCTGTCATTTAACAAGCATTTATATCTGAAAATTCATAGACCCATTACTAGATAAAACATCCGTATTTCTTCCATTTTGCACTGTTGTTTGATTATACTATAGGGTGTAGTGTATGTGTAGCAAATAAATTAATGAAATTGACTTGTTTTGCATGTTTGTGAGAACAGTAAAAAGAAACTCAATATTTTTATACAAAAATGTTTATATTAAAAATATCATTTTTCACACAATTTCATAATAAAAGTTCATTTTTTCCTCCCTTGAAGGAAAACGAGTTTTCTATCCAGTGGTTTTCAGTTTGTACAATCCAACTATAGTTTATGGAAATCTTGAGTTTCCGCCTCCCATTGAGAATCAGCTGGTATGTAACATCAAGATTTTTCTATGATGTTTGTAGCATATATGGCTTTCTACTGATACTCAAGTGAATAATGCAATTGTATGGTATTTACAGATTCATAAAAAAGATGCCGGATTCTGGAGGGATTTTGGATTTGGCATGACTTGTCAGTATCGCTCTGACTTCCTCAGCATTGGTAAGTCAGTGTGTATTTAAATGTGGGGAAAGTTTTACATTTATGACAAAAATTCAGCAAAAGTAGACTAAAGAGCTGATCCAAATATGTCAGTAATATTTATTGTATTTTATTGTAGTAACTCTTCTTGTGAAGTAAAATAATAAATTTTTTCAGCATAGTTTAAAATCGATGCATCAAATTACAATGAAAAGATCTTTTGCTTGTTACATATAAATAAACTCAAGGTTCCCCTTTTCTAGGGGGATTTGATCTGGAAGTGAAAGGCTGGGGTGTAGAAGATGTGCACTTGTACAGGAAGTACCTACGGAGTGATCAGATTGTGATCCGCACTCCTGTATCAGGCCTCTTCCACCTGTGGCATGAGAAGCAGTGTGCAGATGAACTGACCCCAGAACAGTACCGCATGTGCATCCAGTCCAAGGCCATGAATGAGGCGTCACACTCTCACCTGGGCATGCTGGTGTTCAGGGAGGAGATTGAGACTCACCTTCGAAAGCAGGCCTACAAAACCCAGAGCAGACCAGCAGAATAAATCAGCAATACAGAGCACAACGTTGTTGATAACAGCAATGAAGAAATAGGTCAAAAAGACATTGTTGGTATTAAGTCAACTCTAAATAATCATCCATGGATTACTGAAGACCTTATGACAGCAAAAAAGACTAAGTGTAGTGGGAGGATGGTACTGATAGGTACTACGTAAACTGTTTACATCAATGAGACTTTAATCTACATTCTGGAATAGTTTGCTTTAATGCCAATTTAAATTTTAGGTGTTCTGCACTAGAAGGACTTTTTGGATTTATTAACTACATGCATAATGCATAATGACCAGTCCCATTGGGGAAATGAGTTCCTGAAGATTAGCTGAAATGCAGAGAAATTGGTAGGGCCTCATTCATGAAAGAGAGTTTGTGCAAACTATTCGTAAATTGGTTAAGTTGTCTTAATGAATTGAATGCAACAGATTGCATAAAGACTTTTACAGATGATTTACACGGAAATGATTAATAATGGCCATTGAGGAAGCATGTCTTTTTTTTTTATTTTGCAAATAATTGACCGAGCCATACGTTACATTTTTATATCATTTCTATTGAAAATGTATGCGCTGTGACAAAAATGGAGATCCGTTGCTAAAAGTGACAATCATCCACAGATGGATGTGGTTAAACTTGCCATGCTGGATTTGTACTGTAGGCAATGTCTCTGTTGGAATAGTATTCAGACTTTGGGAAAAGTCTTCCACGTGTTTGGACCCGATATGCATTTTGATGCATGTGTCAAACTTTTACTTTGCACCATGTGTGAGGACACTGGTCAGTGCCATAGCGCTAACAGTCAGGGGTTTATGTTGCAGGCTCTGATATTTCAAGACATTGGCCTTTGCAACCACTTTGAAATGAATCTGTGGAAGTAGTGAGAAAAAAAAAACAGAACACCCCACATCCCTAAAAGACGTTTCTGTGATTGAACGTACCACTTCTGATGAGGACATTATGTATTATTTTAACTTTAAGCAGCAGGTAACCATTGCTATCTGTTGTTGAGCCTAAAATTGGTCCATTGCTTTTTTTAAAATAAAAGGAATACAACTAACCATTGTTAATGATTTTTGTCATCAAAATAAACCATGATGTGGTGCAGCAGTTTAACCTTGAAATGCAAACCTGCTATTTGATCCCAGCAGTTTTGTCAAATTTTGGGAGCTAAATCTGTGCCAGGCTGCCAGCTAATATCAATTCTTAAATATCCCAATATATTGAAGAGAACTGTAACATAGTCTAACAAGCCAAATCGACAAAACGGCTCATAATAGTTCAGTTTATTATGATTTGTTGGTTGTAGGGTTTACACAGCATAGTTATTTCTTCACTAACTATAGATAAAGTTTCTGTTAATACCGTTTGATTCCATTTGCAATTGCACTCAAACATTCGCAACTCTATAATTTAAGCTATAAAAATGGCATTTTATACTGAATATTGAAATCCACTATTTGACTTTCATTTCTTAATTTAAGACACATGGAATAATACAAGTGTATTTTAATATAGACTACAAGATAAAAAATAAAAAATAAAATAAAGAGTCCCAGATGAAGAGTTGAAAACTGTTTAAAATATTCTTTTATCTTCAAAGTAATGTGATTTGTGATGACTGAGGAGTTTTAGTGAGCCGTTACATCAATGCACTGAATGATCTGGGTGTATGTTCATGGTCTTGTAAATTTCCTTGAGGAGAAGCAGGGCTGTATCTTCAGATTCCCTGAGGAAAGAGACAAGAGAGTGTTTATAAAACACAACATGACAGTAATGCTGCTATTAATACATACTGATATTGTTATGAAAGATCACATACCAGTAACAGAGATGACTTTGGAGTGCAAACAGGTATTCATTGAAGCTCTCGATGGGTTTCTCTTGCAGGACGTAGTCAATGCGATTACCTCCATTCAGCATGCCCACTTTTATTTGGGTCTCCTCTTCCTTCTGGGGCTCAGGACTCTCAACCATCTTATTCTCCTCTGCAAACAAACAGTGAGATTCAGATTTTGATTGAGCAGAAGTGTGCACAGTGAAATGGAGAAATGATGAAATGAAAAAGGGTAAGAGGATATTAACTGCGTTTAACTTGCCTTCCCCTTGCTGCTTTTCCTCTTCTGCTTTGATTTGACTGGCGACCATGGCGAGCTGTTCATGCAGTTGAACGATTGGCAAGTTTTTTACGTGGCCCCAGAGGAATAGCCATTTCCTTCAGATCATCTATTGTGCACATCAGCTGCAACAGAGATGGAGAAATAGCAGTGATGAGTTGCTTACTCTGTTTTTAATAAAAAAAGATGTAAAAAATAGATTTAAAAAGCTCTTACCAGAGACTCTACGTCAATCTTCTCAGTTTCAAAAGTGCTCAGATATTCAGACAACCCCAACATCTCCAGAATTGATGACAGGTTGCCAATCTCCTCCTCTTCCTCTTTAGACTCTTCCTCAGCAGCTGCTACAGTAGGCACTTCATTGGCCTGGATGACAGGACTTACCTACAGCAATTAAACATAATTCAAATAAGGTTTATAAGTCATCTTAAACACCCACAGATAAAGGCTGTGGGTTCCAGGAATGCCATAATATAGAACATGTCATATTTTAATATTTTTAGTTCAATTAATGTGGAGCATTTTACGGTCATCTTCAAAAATCTAAATGTACTGATACCTGTTTCACATTAGGCGGAGCATTTCCATTGGTCACTGGACCTGATGAAGGTGAGCCAGTCTTCTGATTGGACAGCAGATCAAAAAGTATCAAAGAGCCTACAGATTAGGGGAAATTAAAAGAAAATTGTAATGAAAAATATCAATGTAGTTCAGTTCAGTACAGTACATGGTGTTTTTTTACAAACTATCAGTGAGCTCTTATAGACATTCAAGGTTTATCATATAAGACCTTGAATCAGAGTTATGTAAAAGCAAAGGATTCTCACCCAAGCTGTGTCCAGCCATGGACACTCTGCCTTTGAAGTCTGGGTTTCTTTGCATGAATAGTGCATGTAAGCGGTTGATCTCAAAAGCCACGGTGTCCATAATGGTCTGGCAGTAGGTTGGGCTATTGTAGAAGAGAACATCTAAGAGGGTTTCATTAGTGAAGTGACGCAAACGACCTGTGCTGGGCAGAGTAATCTTCTTTATCCTCCTATTGATGATTAAAAACATAAAAGACAGATTTTTTGTAAAAATAAAAATACAAAAGACGTTTATGATAATACAGACAACATGAATTTAGGCAGAACAGGATGGAGATTTCAAGTTCATAGCAGCAACAAGAGGAAAGGAAAACTTCCTGACAACATATTTTTTCAGTAACCTTAAAGCAAGTTCCTTAAGAAAGAGTCAATTTTTAGACCAAAAATGTTTTATAATTTTTCCAGAGAAGGACAAGAGTTAATGGATTTTATAATTATACTTCCATTCAAAAGTTTGGGGTGGGTAAGATTATTTTCATGTTTTTGAAAGAAGTCTCTTAAGCTCACCAAGGCATTTATTTGATCAAAAATACAGTAAAATATGTATAACATAATTGCTATTTCAAATAACTGCTTTTTACGTTAATATATTTTGAAATTTAATTTATTGTCACTATGGAAAAGCTGAATTATAATTTTACTCCAGTCTATATTTATTCCATGTATTCCAGTCAGTCACATGATCCTTCAGAACTCATTCTAATATGCTGATTTGCTGCTCAAGAAACACCTTATTTCAATGTTGAAAATGGTTGTGGTGCTTAATATTCTTGGGAGAATTGTGATATATTATTTTCAAGATTATTTAATGAATAGAAAGAATAAAAAACACTTCTTCCATAACATTATAAAAAAAAAAC